CTTTATCTGGACTTTAAACTCCACTCACTAAAGCACAGTTGCTTATTCAAATTTTAAGAAAATTAAATATGAATGCAAAAGAGTTATAGAGGACACAAATTAGAGGACAGACTATTAAGAAAAGTACTATTTTTAGTTTAGGGATAGGCAGCGAGGTTCTAAGGAACTGACTATATTTATTATTATTATTCATTGGGCAAGAGGAAGTAAAGGAAGCTTGAAATACCAAAGTTCAAGGTTTCTATAGAGAGAATGCTGGTAGATATCTAAAGAAAATAGAAATGCAAAATTAAAATACTAGAAAATATTGTACAATTAAAAGGGGTGTATGCTGCAATTTTGAGGTAGTATAACTATTTAAGGTACTATCAACACCCCTCCCCCAGTAAGCAACCAGCTAATTCAGAGGACCTCAGGCTGAGTTGTTAGCAACTGAGGTACAAAACAATTTAATGCTAGCATTGTTTGATTGACTTTGCAGGCCTAGAGTCTGAGCACCTATTTAGAGAATAGCAATAGGCAATATAGCAAACATGGGGTTTCTTTCTGTTTGTCTTTGAAATCCAATATTGTTCTCATTGTTATGTTTTGTTCCATTTTATTGTTTTGTCTCATTCAATGCTCTGTTTAAATTGGTTTTATTCTGTTCTGTTTTGTTTGATTGCAGTATGTCTGAGGGTATGGACAGCAGTTTGGGAGATAACAAGAAGTATTATGGCAGTCATTGTTGATTTCCTATTATCGTGCTTTGAGGTCCTATATCACTTTCACTGTCTTGTTTTACTTGACTTCATTCTGTTTTATTTTGTTTGGTTTTATTCTCTTTAAAATAAAATTTAAAAAATTATGGTACCAAATTTTCAAAGAGAAGATAGGAAAGGAGAAGGAAAGCCAGAGTAACAATACTACATTTTATAATATATTCTAAGGTGTAGCAGGAAACAAGATTTTGATTTTCACAGGATGTGAATTCTTCTCCAAATGACTGAGTAAAAATATTTTCTCCTCAATGTTAGCTGTGCAGAACTTGAATTTCTCTATCACTTAGAGAATCCATATTTTCCAAGATATGTGGCTCCATCTATGGTTCCCCAGTATGTCTACCCAGACTCCTTAGATAGCTCATAACTTATGACTATGCCACATTCCCTGCGTCCTAGCTGCTACAATTTACCATACTTCTGGTAATCCCACTGCACCCAGGAAATACTTTTTCATTGATTCACAGTGGCTGTACATCCTTGAACACTTTTTAAATCATTCTCCAGGACCCCAGCAGTCATTACAACATCCACATAGGTTACATACTTGTCCCAAATGATTTCAATACTCTCCTCTCACTGCTCTCAATATTTCATCACAGGAAGCTGGATCTCTACTTACTGTATAAAAGCTCATTCCTAAGATGCATTTTCTATGTTTACATCATGCCCCAAAGATATTACTGATTCTCATGTATTCATAGACTAACAATTAACCCATTTCTGGCTCCAATCCAAATAGGCTTTTGGAGCTTATCCAACAGCAAAGTCTGCTTCTCGATTTAGATATATATAGCACTTCACATTTAACTAGGTCAAAACTCAACTGTTTAGCTTCCTCTAAATCTGTTTTCTTTTTACTTTTCCACATATCCTTCATAGGACTGCAAGTCACCAAGTTTTTAATCCATATATTTGGGATTTATGATTGATTACTGTCTGTCTTGAACCATTCTGATTCAGTCTTTTGCCAGTCCTCTCAATTCTACTTTTAAAATAGGTCTAAGGGTGATGTACCTCTCATCACTTAAACTGACACCATGCTGGTCCACAGATGCCTCATCTCTGCCTTCTATTTTTACAATAACTTCAAAAATGGCCCCAAACTTTTACTCTGCCTCAAATAACACACCAAGTATCCATTTTAAATGTGCTCAAAGTCTTCTCATTTTCCTGCTCAAAATGTCTCACTGGATTCCTACCCACTGCAGTTGAAAAATAACTGAAACAATAAAAACCAATGTTCTTTTTTCTTCCCTGCAACCCTCACTGCTGGGCTACTCTGACCCTGCACATTTTGCCACTTTTCCATGCTTAGGCTCTCTGTTCTCCAGCCACTTGCATTTCAGTTCCTTAATATGAACCAATCTCTTTCATGCATTGAAGCATTAATTTATAAGACTCCTTTATCTTCTATTTTCCTTTAGGTTTTGGGTGCATATATAATTTCTTATGACATAGTAACATATCAAAACTTTCTAGATGTTGGTCTTGATGTTGCATGTTTGAAATCATAGCACTCTAGGAGGCTAAGGCAGGAAAATCATGATTTATTGCCTGAGCCTGGGAAACAATTTAATAGCTTAACAAGAACAAGAGGCCTAGGGAAGTAGCTCAGTGCAGAGGCTGAGGGTTTAATCTTCAATACTTAAAAAATATTGTAGGCTATTATTTTCTCCTCTTTACTACAAAGCACTTAGGTCAAGTCAAGTTTGGCAGTATCATACTCTGTTGATGATTGTAAGTCCATACTGTTCCCAGAAACAAGAAAGATTAGCTAAGAGCTAAAATACACTTGCTGGTCAACAGGCAAGATTTTTCAAGGGTCCTCGTACACATCATTCTCATAACTTCTTGAACAGATGGACCCTTCTTGTCTAGACAAGAAGGGCTACCGGGCTACACTAGTCTATAGGGCTACACTATAGACACAATCTATAAGGAAGATATCACTACATACGTGGGTTACTTACCTTTCTCTCTTGCTGAGACAAAAATACCTGATGCCCAAAATTAAGGAAAGAAAAGTTTATTTAGCTTACAATTTGTGGAGGTTTGTGTTAACTGGCTCCAAGGCATGGTGGCAGATGGCAGAGGGCAACAGTTCATCGTGGCAGCAACAGCACATGAACAAAAATGGAGGAACAAGAGAAGACGCTGTCTGCCTCTTATATTGTAGGCTACCAGCCTTTGGGTGAGTGTAGCACTCACACTCATAATCCCAGCACTAGACAGTGATTCAATCACACACTCTAGATTCATCCAACTCTGAAAATCACAACACCCATGACTGCATGAGGATTGAACATCCAGACACAAACCATAACAAAATGGATCTATCTTATTGAGTAAAAGGTTCCATTCCAGAAGGGTAAGCTCTTCCAAAAGTACACCAGCATGCAATTGCATGTGTCCTTAAAATAAGGGATTGTAAATATCATGGTTTATTTTTCTAATTTTTCCTGTGATGAACATAGGAAAACTACTAAATTGTTAACTGTCTATCGGCATGCCCTGATTTCCTTGGAGCCTAATAGTAGACTTCAATGAAGACATAAATTTATGTATATCTGGAGAAACTAACGTCAAGATTTTGTAAATTAAACTAAATTTGGTAGATTATACTTCAGGTCTAGTAAGATTAAAATGAAGGTCAACAACAACAAAAAAAGATTTTGAAATACTGCCAAGTGCAGCATCCATCAGAGAGAGCTTAGGCCAAATCTCTGGGATATGGATTCTGTCTCTGGTGCACTTGTAGACTCATTAGCATGGGTGGACATGCAGGGATTTCAGTTCCCAAGCTACCATCATGACTGCATGTTGTACACACTCTTCTCATGCCCTCATCTGTGCCGCTTCATGTCTGTATCATGTCCAACTTCCTGGTTAAACTGAGGGCTCTCTGGCCTGCGTGCAGGGCCTGGCCTGGCCTGCGTGCCCACCATGCTGCTTAACATCTTTAATTGTAGTTGTACAATCTTATTTGCACGTGAGCACTACTGAACCCAGTTCTGCAGAGGTGTAACCAAAAAGTTCATATAAAATGGGAACAATAAAACAAAATTTGTACAAATGATTACAAAGCACAGCTAGATTTAAGAAACACTGGCTTCAAAGTGATTTCACGTTGAATCCTTCCTGAGAGATATGGCCAAGTGTCTAAACTCATGACATCTTGCAAAATTAATAACAATAATAATAATAATAATAATAATAATATCTGAAATCTTTACTGAAATTTTACTATGTGTTAGCCAATATGCTAAGATTCATCTGTGGTTATATTATTTTTTCATACAATAGTGCTATGAAGATAGTGTTATTTCTAAACCATTTTAAACTAAAGATATTGAGGTCTATTGGGTTAACTAAGGCACCCAAAATTACACATTTGAGGACTGGTGGATCCAAGATGCAAACCCGAATAAAGAACTGGTGGTTCCAGACCAGGGGCAAGCAGTCACATGTGGCAGCCGTTATCAATAGAATCCTGTTTCATTATCCTCAGCATCCTCTGCCTCAGCACTTCACTCTGAATGCTGGTCCTGTTTTGAAACAGTAAATACTGCATATCTCAGACCCTTTTCTAGAGTTTTAGAGGGAAAGATGTTGCCATGTATCTGATGGCAAATTTGCCCTTAACTTAGAGATTTGTGCAATCTACCTCTTCTGCTGAAGGACCTACAGTCTCATTTTATATCTCTGAAATTTAATATGGAATTAAAAAAAAAAACAAAGTTCTCTTCCCTACACAATTTCATGAAAGTTTCAGATCACCTTTGCTATTACAAAAAAGGATGTCAGTACACAGACAAGCTTTTTCTATAACCATGAGATAGAGAGGAAAACCTGGACTATTCTGGAATAGTCCAGAAGCTTCCCCTAGCAATGGTAGAGAAATACCTGAGCAGAAACACAAAATCTCCCCATCTAGGTAGTAGGGGTAGATTGTTTTATTCTTCCTGGAGACTTAGACTTTTAAATATGAATTCTTTTATGTGCTAAAGGCTAATTGTTCAAGTGAAAGTCAGACTTTTAAAAAAAACACAGTGTCCCACATTGCAGTTTGTATCCCTTTAGAAATATGTTTCATCATTTTTGTTAAAAAATCCAGCAACACACAACTTATTAGATGTTGTGATAAGAATATAGTGTTGAAGAAATAAGCCACCCTTGGAGCCATTTTTTCTGCACATATAGAAAGCCATTCATAAAACATAAATATGACATAGTTACCTGTCATGTTGCAGTAAACTTTCAGAGGCCCCAGCGGTCCACTGCCATCAGGATCTATCCAGTAGTAATTGGATGTCTGGCCCAGGTGTTTGTATGCTTCACAGGAGGGCTCATAGATAGCTGGAAAGAGATATCCTGTGTGAACACAGCCGGAAACCAATAGCTCCCCAGACCAGCACCCTAGGAACACAGCCAGCCCACAGGCCACTGCTGTTGGCACCTCCTCCTGTTTGAGTGAACATGTTTTTTCTCTAAATTTAAATCCATGGCTGGTTTTTTTTTTTTTTTCTTTTTAGGTATTTCTGACCTAACAAAGATAATAAGCTCCTGATATGGCTTTATAGTAGGAAAAGAACTAAAATAAAACAATCGATAAATTGTTAAATAAACATAATTCTTGTCTTAAGGAGGCTCATGATCATGGAAATGTATTTAATTTATAGCAATTGATAGCTATCATCTCTTTAATTTAAGGGGCTTTATTTTGAAAGGTCATAAATACTGGTTGCTTTGGTGAGGTCTCAAGAGGTGGAAGAAAATTTTCTTTCTGTCTCTATTTCACACACACATTAACATAGTTAATAATAAGTATAAATATAATATAATATGTGCTTTTTAATGTATTATCTCAGAAAAAAACCCAGTGTATTATCTCAGAAATTTTCCTGATTTTATTTGTTACAGGTACTTTAATTGCATCCAACCTTGTTGAAAAAGCCAACACCTCTGTAATTAAATTATAGGTTCTTTTTCGTTACTTTCATTTTTGTTCCTATGCCTCTGACAGATTATCTTAATGAAGAACTTCTGCACTTCTGTTTTCAAAAGTGCAGAATAAAAATTTACATATCTCCTTTGTAGTAAGACTGTCTAAAATAATGCTATAAAAACTCCTTTCCCCAACAGTTCTGCACTGATATTTATGAAGACTATGAAAGATACCTTCACAATGTGAATAACTATTTCTGGTGAAAGTCTGTCTACCTGATCCACATGTAACGGAGCCTTTTTCTAAAGTACACTTGAGTCATACATGTGGAATCTGCTGAGTGTTAGGTTACGAAGCAGGGAGTCCAGTCTGAGACCTGTCCCATTTCTTCTAACTTTTATTCTACCAAGTCCTCTCTGCCTCCTTTGAACTTTTTGCAGCTTCCTCTCTTCAAGGATGTTAGACCTTTAAATCTATTTCACTTTAACAGCAATAAAACACACTCGAATAAAACATATGTCAAATTCTTTGATTTATGCATTCCTCTCTTGCTCTCTTTCTTCTGCAAATAGTTACCAAGTGCTTGTAAAGCATTACACAGATCAAGCTCTGCAAATCTAGCCACGTAGAACCCAGATACATGACCTTTGGGGACGGGTTTGTTCACTATGTAGGCATTGCTTATGCATGAAGTGCTACTGGAGAGAATGTGGTTAGAAACGTAAGCAGAGCTAGGCTTTTCTTGGTCCCTTTTTTAATAACCAGTAGGTCCACTTTTAATCTCCTCAGTGTCTAACTTCAATAATAAACTATACTTCCTTTAATCTTGATCACCATACCATGCAAACTTTTGGATTCCATAATCAAATGTAGGCTTTAGAAAAAAAATTCACATGGTGAAACAGTAGATTTTAGGTACGTGATTAAGTGATTCACATGGTAAAATCACATTGGGCTGTTACCACCATAGCCAGTTGGAAGATGACTAAACTTGAACCAAAGCAGCATGAAGTGTAAAGTAGATGGGAACCTGAATGTTTTTAAGATCATCAGGACATGGAGACAAACTCCATGTTAGTGGTGAGGAATAAGGAAGAGTTAATAATGAACTAAATTCATAATCTCTGAAAAATAACTTACCTATTAGGTAGCTATTGACAGCATACTTCAAGTTATTATCATTTTCATGTGTAGTTCAAAGTAATTTAAGAAGTCAGGCTTCTATAAAGATTTCCTCTAGTCCCCATGCTCCATCAGCCATTAAAGCTTTTCAACTTTCTTTTTCTGCTAATTAATAATTAACTATTCTCATCTGTTTTTGTCCAGTCTTTATCCTTATCTGATTTACAACAGTCACTATATTAATGGATCCTTCTATCTCTTCTCACCAAAGTATGCTTTTAAATTTATGTTATCATAATCTTAAAATAACACTTGCATTGTGTTCAAAATTGTGTCATATTTCTTCAGTTGTTTATGACTCTGTAACACAAATCATCATCTATGCATGCAGGAATTTTCAGTCTTTCTTCACTGTAGTGCCCTACCAATATCGACCCTTTGCCCTGCTCCACTATATTTGCCCCAGACCCACTTATGGAGGTCATGCTCATCCTACCTGGGTTGCCTTATCTTTCACCTTGGATAAGCCTTTGTCTCAGTCTGCACAACTTTGAAATCAGAGTCATCCACAGAACAAACATGAGAACAGACAGGGTTCTGCAGACAGAGTTGGGTCAGAGTTAGAACTCCACACTGTACTATTTATGAATAACATGGGCAAAAGAGCATCATCTGCTTTAGCTTCATCTGGAAAAGAAGTACAATCAGTATATTATAGTGGACTGTTATCTACTGCATAAGGCTAAGCAGGGTTCAATTATGACCACTGGAAGAACAATCTACATTGATTGTTTGACGTAGTGCCTAGTTCATGGCAAACTTTTAATAGATGGCATTTTATTATCACTCTATGAATTAAATTCCTCCTCTTTATTTGTGTTTAGCTACATTCTCAACATCTCCCTTGCCTTACCTTTTGTTTTCATTCTTTATTTTGAGGCAGAGTTTTGCTGAGTCACTAAGTGGCCCAAGCTGGGCTCAAATCTGGTTCTTCTGCCTCAGCCTCTCAGAATGCTGGAATTACAAAAAATCTCTCTTTTTAAAGGAATTTCTCTCTGCCTCATGATGTACAGTCCCTTTCCACAATGTTGGAGAAGAAGCTGGGCCTTGTGTCTGCACCTGCATATTCCTACAACTTTTCAGAGTCCTTTGGGCAGTGACTGAGGAGATAAACCATGCAGGAAACATTGTAAAAAAATAAAGTAATTTCTCCTTAACTCATATGTCTATCTTGTTGTACAGCTCAGGATACTCACATTTATGTCATGCATTCTAACACGTTATTATTGCTAGTTTAGAATTTGGTTGATTGATGTTTATTGAATTTAGTCTTTGTAAACTGTTTCCTAGTAGAACAATGAATCCTCATGAGGGTGGAGTCCATAAAATATTTTTCTTTTCTCCTCCATAGGATCTGACATGGTAGATGTTTAAAAAGATAATCAAACTAAGTTGTAAGTTCTCCTGTTTATTGTCCTGTTCTGATTTTGACACGAGGATTTTTGGATGACTAAACCAGAAAAAGCATATGCATATTCAAGGCTGACTGACTGATCAGTCTATGACTGTTACTGTATTTCTAGGTAAATGTGTAGACATTTTAAGACCTTCATTCCAGGAGCTGATTGGTGGTATTTGCTAGAGGAATATGGGTGTGGGTAAGTTTGGTAATCAAGAATCTCACTATACTTTTTCTTCCAGTTCGAACAATCATTCTGTTGGTCTTTAGACTACATCAGTCAGGTTGCTCTTGCCTCAAGAACACTCATTGATGTAAGATACTTCATTCCAAACTTTGGCATGTGAGAGAATTACCTGGAGAGCTTGTTAAAAGGGGAATCTTTGGTTTCATTCCCTTCCAAGGGAGTGACTCTGTGGGGAATTTACAGTCAGAACAGGCTCCTATATGATGCTAGTGCTGCTGCTGCTGAGCCTACGTTTTGAGACACCTAATTGTAATCCTGAAAAAAAGAGTAACCTCAACAAGAGTACACTTGTTATTATTTATATTTAACAGGAAAAAAAATAGGAAACTCAATGGCAGCACAGTAAAATTTTGAATATAGTATGGTTGGAATGCTACTTTGTTTCACTTCATATAAAAAAAAACAAGAAGATACAAAATTCTAAATAGAAAATACAGTGTTAAACTATGTATACTCACATAGATGCACATAAAAATGTTTGGAAGGAAATCCATCAAAATGATTATTTTTGAGTTGCACAAGTATGGGTGATTTAAACCTTTCACACTTCTCTGTATTCTCTGTAATACTTTATAATGTCCACTTGTTTTTTTATCATTAAAATGTTCTTTTAAAACTGTGTCTCTACATTCGTAACACTGATGTAAAATGGAAAGACCAGCTGTGATCTAGTGATATTGCATTAGTTTTACATCCACAATAAGGAATTAAGATATTTGAGCTCAATTCACCTTTCTGTCATTTACGACCCAGAAACTCTGCTGAACCTTTAGTTTCCTGTACTGTATGATGAGGCAATAATCCCTGCTCTCGAAAGTATTGTGAATATTAAATGAAATCATATTCTTTTTAACCTAAAATGTATTACATATATTTGAATGATTAGGCTCAGAATGAGCTAATGCAAATCTTTCCCACATTTTTAGTGTATATTGGTTGTACAGATTAATGGGTTTAATTTGGGAAGATCTATACATGCACAAAATGTACTTTAATCACTCCCTGTTACCTTCTGGCCCCACCCTCCAACCAGGCTTTACATCATTTTGGGAAGATTTTAACGTGCAAATGTATTTTGATCATATTCTATTACTTACCCCACAACCCATTCTTGCTCTTCCTTCTCTCCTTATTCTCTTACTCTAGTCTAAAAGTGGTTTGCCTTGTACTTTTCTGTCATCTTTTTTTGTTTTATGACTCCCAATATTAAAGAACATGCAGTGTCTATCTTTCTGAGACTGGGTGACTTCTGTCAATATAATGCAAATTTTGACTTTGTAGGACTCAGCCAGTTAACTCTGGCCCAGTAGAATTCTGCTCAAGTTGTGTGATTTCTACACACCAATGTCAGGAAACAACAGAGCTCAGGAGCTCAGGCAGTAGCCACTGCAGAAGGAGAAGGGTCAGAAGCATTGTCAGTGGCCAGTGTTAGGACTCTGCTGAAGAAAGAAAGGTAATGGGGGCAGGTGGAAAACAAATTCATGGAGCTCATGGATTTATTGGGGAAGTCATGTGTCTTTTGCAACTCTAACTCTCAAATTAGAGATCTTATATACTGTATTCTATATATTCTTAAACCATTC